TTGTCACCAAAACTGGATCGGAGGGGAATACTTCCAATGGAGCCACGTGTTGCAGTGACAACTGTCTAAGCTGGAACTTCCCTAACTCCCACGTATTTCATGTTGTGCATACAGGGCAGCAAAATTAAAGGAAAGCTCTTTAAAATGGGACACAGGGTAGAAAAAGTCTCTTTTATGAAGTCCAGGGACGTACTTTTGCAGTGAAACTGTGCAGAGTGCATTGACTCTGTGCATAGTTATTCAGTCAGGGGAACCCATCAGAATTCATTGTTTTACTATCCTAATAAACTGAGGTTTGACTGCTAGCTATGGTTTACTGCACTTCTTTGGTAAGGTATATCTAATGCCAAAACTGTTTTTCATTTTAGAAAGAGTAAATAATGGATAAATGGGTTATTTTAGAATTGTGTTGCGGCTCTGCACAACAAATGTCAGTGCCTGTGACAAATTCATGTACCAGTCTACCCCTAGGGCAACAGCGTCATTGGTTTTTGTGCTGTGCAGCTGACCGCATCCTAGTAATCAAGAAAGCTGTACAGTCCACTGTGTCATAGCTACCAAGGATGCCGTTGGATGACAACGTCCCTACAATCCATGATGCTGCAGCCTGACAGCATCCCAGCAGCCAATGAGGCTCTAACAACCAGTGATGTAGGGCTGACAGCAGCGGTGACCAGGGGGTGGGGAAAAAGCATGGCCTCTACTGCTTTAGTAAATTAGCCAGAAGGTCAACATTGCAAAGAAACACACCATGATTTATATACAACTTTTATTTCATTCCCTTATCTCATTACATAAAAACAAATCAATATACTCAAAGGACACAAACATCTCAAATATATTAATGGATTTCACAATAAAATAAAAAAACTAGTAGACAACAAAAATCTACAAGCCATGGTTAAAAAAAAGAGCAAATAGTTAAAAAAAAACTTAAAGAAAAGTGCAATTTGATAAGCAAAGTCAAGCATGGACACCCTGCGGCCCTCCAGCTGCCGACGGAGACAAGCTGGGACTTGGTTCCTAGGAAGCTAGGAGTTGCACAATCCCAACGTAAACATCGTGTTCAGCAGCTCAGCGGTTCAAGTTTCTTAACAGGAAAACATGGGATCACATTGGGTCTTGTGTATAAATGTATTCCTTTCCTAGCAAGTCTCCATTTCATTTCTGCTGGGGCACAGTGTTGTGACAGAGATCAAGAACAAAGGGGAACTTTCTGCAGTGTCATTGGAGTGTATTTGAATCTCATATATTAAAGTGAACCCGGCTAGGTCTAGAAAGTGTCTGCCAGCACCTTTGTTCCTCTTAGGACTGGTCCCTGTGGAACTCCCTTAGACTTTAGGCCCAGGCTAACTGTTCTTTCCAAAGAATCAGCAATCAAATGACAGAGCCTCATTGGACAGTAAGCACCCTGCTATTTGACAGCTGAATGACAGGTCCGGGGGTTAGCACAAGAATAGAGTGGGAGTTAAAGCATATCTAAGCCCATAACCAAAAATTTAATACATTGCAGCTCATCAATCCGTAGATGTTTTCTTTTTCAGGCTTTTTACCCCTTTTATTTTATCTTTCTGAGCAGGCCAGTAACACACTTCTTGTTTTAGGGTGACTACACTCATTCCTTCACTGTATCTATACATAGCATACCCACCTTTGGACACCAGTAATATAATCTGTTAGATTTCAAGTGTTTGATGGGCTAGAAGATTTAGATGGACTTTGCATAAGCTTTAACTCCAGCTATCACTTTTTAAGCAGTACAGAAAGTTTGTTTCCAGTTAAAAGACATTAAAAAGAATATCAGACCTAGTGGCGGGATCAAACGGTAATAAAACCATGTTATGGGGTGG